ATCTTAGAAATAAAACGAATGAGCGGAAAACCTTACTATTTAGTAAGATAGAAGGGGTACGATACCTCTAAAAATACTTAGGAACCTATTGAGAACCTAAGGGGCTGCCTCTAGTTAGTTTAATAGTTCTACTAGAAGAATCGCTAACTAGGAAAGATAGGTCTATCCCCTCTAAGATAGAAGGGGATAGGGGACCGAATATCTAGGTTAGAGTAGGATCCTCTAACGTAGCGGTAAGGGCTTAAGTATCGTACTTATCGGTGAGGCGATCTAGCTTAGTAAGATCCTTAGTAGACGGAGGATCCTTAGTATCTAACTACTCTATTAACGCGGAATTGTGATCTAATATCCGATTATTCTAGGAATGTAAGAATTAGTGCTATTTACGCAAATGTATTATTTTTATTATTATATCTATTTACTATTTTTTAGCCTAGGTAAGCTCTTTATTAATTTTCTACTACTTGCGTAATACCTTTTGCCACTTAGTTTCGCTGTAGAACCTTTTGGTATATTTCTGACCCCGACGAGTGCATTTGGTATAGTTACAGTACTTAGGATCCGCTATATAGGAGATGCTGTGGGAAAAGTAATATTTATAGGGGTGTTTAGCAACTGAACCGTTTGTTAGAATTAATCGATATTAAGTAAGTCTATTTTGTTTGTAAGTCGCGTTATTAACCGGTATAGTGTAAAGGGTATATAACTAGAGAACGAGAAAAAAGGGAAAAAGAAAAATAACTAATATTACTTACCTGAGGGGTGGTCGATAGCTTTAAAGGGCTTCGAGGACGAAACCCTAGGGGAGAGGGAGATGATATTACGGAACTACCTGTTACTAATTGATAGTACCCTACCGGGTGTATAGATAGGCCACCGAGAGCTAACTAATCTATTTGTTAGTAGATCACGTATAATATCTAATACTCTAGTATCCCTAGGTATTTAGGAAAGAGAAAACCTATTTATACTTAGTGAGTAAAAGTATGATTAAGCCTGATTAGACTCCCTGCTAGGAGGTTTCTGGTACGTATGTACTTTAGGGTATCGGATATCACCTACACTAGGAATCGCTGTACACAGAACTAGGGATACGTGACTGTGACTCCTATATCGACTTAGAGAAGTATACGTAGGAGTATACGGCGACTCTAGCGGTGACTCTAGGGAGTCACGCTAGGAGTAGGAATCGAAAGATATATAAGGACACTCATTTATGTATCTAGTTTAGTTCTTCGTCTTTAATCATATATTGTTACTTGTGTTTACCTTTTGGACTACTGTGACTCTTTACTTGATTATAACTTGACAACACTCACGAGCAGACCAATACCCCGGTATAGATCTACTCGGCGCTTTCACTGGCATCGTTCCTCGATCTCTTAACAGGACTTAGGCTACAGTAAGGCCTTGCAGGCAATAGCTCAGTTGCGACAGGTCGTTGACGTTGGATACACGAGGAGTATTAAGGCAAGTATACCCGGAACCCATCTAACCTAACCGTGACCAGTTAGCAGTGCGTAACACTTAGGAAGAGAGATTTATTAATACTGTTTAATCTTACCGAAGCTTATAAATATACTATTTACTAAACCCTAAAATTCTGTAACTAAGACGCGAGAAAAGAGAGCTTATAGCGGAGATATAATCTGTAGCTAGTATAATTAAGAATACCTGTAATACCTTTCTATACCTCTTCTAAAGGTATAAGACTGTTAAAAAAGACCTAGCTAAACTTCGGAAAATATTAGCGATCGAAACTTACAAAATAGCTAGAAAGGACTATTTTAATAATACCCCTATACTTAAAGTTAACAGATAGATTAAGTAAATACTTCTTAGCGAATCTAATATTAAGGAACGCGATACTAATAGTTCCGCTAAAGAAGATTAGGAGCTTCCTATCCTAGACTATATATTTCTTAAACGAGCTCGGCTTATAGAGAACTTTTACAGCTCTAACGCCGAAGACTTTTATAAGGACAAATTACTTACTCGACACATCTAGGTTACTAAGGATATAGTTGCGCTTCTACTACTTTATGAGCTAAGCAAGCGAGGCAACCGTATTAATTAGGATCTTAATAAAGAGGAAAACATACCTATTAAACAGCCCGAGCAACTAGCGTCTAATAATAATACACAAATATATCTAACAGATATTTATATTATCTACTTTAGTAAATCTCGTCGCTTAGCGTCGAACCCTTCTCCGCATAAATTTCCTTCTAAGTGACTAGACTCACTTCGTCGTCATCTCATCGACTCTCACCTACTTCATACACACAACGGGATCAGCTACAACTAGGAAGCATATCGCACTCTTCCCAAGTTTACTAAAATCACCGAACTTTTAGCCCATACTAATAAAGAACACAAATATAATATCAATATTAAACTATATCATCTCACCGAAAGGCCACAGGTTAGCCACGGTAACAGTTCTTCCAGAGAAACATCTATAGAATCAGTAGATCGGCAAGGCACTAAAACTCCCGCCTCTATCGATTTTAATATAACAAATATTAATCCTCGATTGATAAGACCCGGCCCTATCACCGTCGTAAAGCCATCAGCCTACCCATCAAAAACCGACATTTCCGCCTCCTCTTCTAGATACCTAGTGACGACCACTAACTCAAATTCGGCGGATATTTCTACACACCAAGTAACGAGGGGAATAGCAAAGGCAGCAAATATAGAACCTATTCCTAAGCTAGAATCTTCATCACAGCATACGACGCGCTCGTCTCGAAAAATTCGGCGCCTAGAAGAGCAGCCTAGGGGGCTGTAGAAGGGTAAAGGACGGCTAGGCAAATCGAAAGCGTCTAGTATTAGATATATGCCACGTCGGTCAAAGCGATTACGAGCCCAGTGATTTGTGGCCTTGGGGATGATTCTTTTTATTCGTATATTTGGATGCAGTTCAATAGATTGATTGTAGACCTTATCTTAGAAGCATTTCTGGCTTAGCAATGATACTAGTTCCAGACTGTCGTTTACTTTAAATGGCTACGAACAGTAACTTGCATTCTGATGGCGTTCAAAGATAAATATTACGGAATGATAGTAAGGCAATTGGGTCGAGTCGGGTTACGTGGTAACAATGGCCTTCTATGAAGCTTTCCCTTCCCTATTCCTGGCGTTCGGGGTAGAAAAGAACTTCCATCCTTCCTGGAAGGAGCACGAACATGAGAGGTTATTCACGGTCCTTTCTCTTTCAATTGTCAAACCGGTCGTGTCTCCAACATGCGCCAGACACAAATGGGTGTATTCTTCTTTCACTTTATTCACCAAGAAGTCATTGAGAAGGCCTGGATTTCGGGAGAGTGGAAATCAACAGATTGAGAATAAAGAAACCGCAAAGTTATAAAGCTAGCGAGCATCAGGTGCGTTTTGAATGCATACTGGATCAGGTCGGTCGGTGCTAGACCCGAGATAGAAAGGAAGGAAGGAAGGGTGACAGTATCTATGAACCTCGGGCAGGATCTTCAAGTAACCTGGGACAAGGTGGCTAGAGCTGGCCGACTAGCTTCTTTGGCCAGGAATCGTCCGATGCTTCGCTTCCTACGACAGACCACGAATTCCCTATAAGAATCCTTCTCTCAAAAGGCGCATGGTGCTTCCCACGATAGACGTGATCCGACGATCAGTCTAATCGTAGGGATATCTAGGTGTGCCAAAATCGTGGTGTTTCCCACGATAGACTTGATCCGAGAATCGAGTAGGTCCGGATGGAAAAATACTGCGTCTGGAGATCACAACTACACAACTCAAACTCATCGTGCAATAAATTCATTGAAGTAGTTTATTCTATGTATTCAGATAAAGATTGGATGCAATCTCTGACCAATGATGGGAGAACAAATCACGAATTGCAAAGGTTTGGACCCGGAAAGTTTGAAGGTTTTTGCCAAAGAGCGCTAGAACCACTGAATCGGAACAATATATAGCATGTCGTCTGACATTTGCAGGGTCGATTTAATTTGTCAAAGGATCCTGAATGCACATGAAGTATCTCCTTTGCAAATAAAGCCCAATCAGTGTGAGAATGCCCTCCACTATGCACATGAACCAGAAAACGTACAAAACTGTAGTGGCCTGGCTCATCATTTGTTCCAACGAGGTGATTTCTTCCAGATTCCTTAACTCCTCTCAATGCACAGGAATTTTATGAGCGTCGATTTTCCGTAAAGAGTTTCTTTATTTCGCTACTCATCTCGGCCAACCGCGAGTCATACCAGTCGTTAACTATATCGGGCATAGTACTGCTCTGGTGGAGAGCAGATCACCGCAAAGGCAGGCCCACTCGGCATGTCAAAAGATGAGGCATACGACCTGTTGTACGTCAGATACCTGCATATCGCCTAATTGAGCATTAGTGAACGGTAGTCAACGGCGGAACGAGATAGTCAACGCATCAAGGAAATCTTGAGGCATATGATGAGACGCTAGTTACCTCAGTTTTTTCAGGGTTGACGGATCGTGGGAAAGCTGAGGAGATGGGCTGATCTGCCAGATGAGACATATCTCTATTCAAAATACGCTTTAGACCGCACTTTTTCTGATGTGAGCGATTATCCCATCGGGCCCCAACTGTTTTTTCTGCGGGGATGCTTGATTCTACCCATCCATTTTTCCATCAGTTGAGGGACACCGTAAACTGTGCATCGTATAGTACAGTACCTAACGATGTAAATAATACAAAACTCACATGAGAACCCCGTGGAATTTCATGCAATCTCAGAGGGGATCTCTGCAAATCAGTCCAAAAGGGGTTCGCTGAGTGCTTGGTTTCTTAGCGATCTGCCAGGTGACTGGAACTTAATGAAGTATACCATAAGCAGGACAGAGCTGTTCTATGGGGATATCAGACAGTGGAATAGGGGAAGTAAGAAAATATCATGTCTATATAGAAAATCTAATAAAGGAAATTCGCCCTGATGCGTGTCCCACGGCAAGTGTATTACCTTTGACCCTAAAACAATTGGGCCGAAATTCTAAAGGAAGCCAAAGAACCTTTTCGCCATTCAAGTTTATCCATTGGTCATGCTCGATAGAGATGCCTAAAACCGCATAAGGTGAATGAAACGTAGGAGTGTCACACCTGGATTGAATGTCAAGAAGGCCGAAATTAGTACGGATATGGGAACCGTCGTAGGAAAATTCCAGCTCAGTGACTCCTTTCTCAATATTCCAAGTTCGTGTAAGCGCGCCTGTCGCTATGTCCCAGAGGCGCACTGTTTTATCACTGGAGCCGGTCGCAAGCAGCTGGCCTTTAGGCGAGAAGGCCACCGCCACAACCGAACCTAAATGACCTTTAAGCGTCTGGATAAGTGTGCCTGTCGCCAGGTCCCAGAGCCACACTGTGTTGTCGTCAGCCCCAGTGGTCGCGCCTATCGCCGGGTCCCATGGTTGCGCACCAGAGCTCGACGCCAACAGCCGGCCGTCGGGCGAGAAGGCCACTGATGAAACATAACTTGAGTGGCCGTTGAGCTTCTGGGTAAGCGCACCCGTGACCAGGTCCCACAGTTGTACTGTGCCATCACTCGTGCCTGACGCCCATAGCCGTCCATCAGGCGAGAAGGCTCCTGAAGAAGCCCAACTTGAGTGGCCTTCAAGTGTCTGAATAAGCGCACCTGTCGCCGGCTTCCAGAGACGTACTGTATTATCACCAGAGCTCGACGCCAGCAGCCGGCCGTTAGGCGAGAAAGTCACCCACTCGACTAACTTTGAATGGCCTTCAATTGGCTGGGTTAGAACGCCTGTCTCCAGGTCCCAGAGCCGTACTGTCTTATCACAGGAGCCCGACGCAAGCAGTTGGCCGTTAGGCGAGAAAGCCACTGACTCAACTGGAAATGAATGGCCTTCGAGCGTCTGGATAAGTGCGCCTGTCGCCAGGTCCCAGAGCCGCACTGTTTTATCACTGGAGCCGGACGCAAGCAGCTGGCCTTTAGGCGAGAAGGCCACCGCCACAACCGAGCCTAAATGACCCTCAAGCGTCTGGGTGAGAGCGCCTGTTGCCAGGTCCCAGAGCCGCACTATGTAATCACCAGTGCCCGACGCCAGTAGCCGGTCATCTGGCGAGAAGGTTACTGACCAAACCCACATTGGGTGGCCGTCGAGCTTTTGGATAAGCGCGCCTGTTAACGGGTCCCAGATCCGTACTGTCTTATCGTCAGAGCCGGATGCCAGCAGCCGGCTATCAGACGAGAATGCCACCGCTACAACCGAACCTAAATGACCTTCAAGCGTCTGGGTGAGTGCGCCTGTCGCCGGGTGCCAGAGTCGTACTATCTTATCGAGAGATCCGGATGCTAGGACCCGGTCATCTGGCGAGAAGGTCACGGACAAAACCCACATCGGATGGTATTTAGGCGTCTGGATAAGGTCACCTGTCAACGGGTCCCAGATCCGCATTGTGTTATCTTCAGAGCCGGATGCCAGCAGCCGGCCGTCAGACGAAAAGGCCACCGACAGAACTGAGCCTAAATGACCTTCGAGTATCTGGGTAAGTGCACCTGTCGCGGGGTCCCAAAGTCGCACTGTGCTATCGTGAGAGCCCGACGCTAGTAGCCGACCGTCGGGTGAGAAACCCACTGACCGAACCCGACTTGAATGACCTTCAAGAGTCTGTAGTTCGGCACCCCATGTCTCCTTAACTCGTGGTAACTGGCATATCCAAGTAGGAAGCTTTTCTTTGAATTGTTTACGGATTATTGCCGATCGGGGTGCAAATATAAGTCCTGCGCAATAAACTTGAAGGGGCGCTTGATCAATTATCTGGCAGTTTTTCAGAATAAATCGCTTTGCATCGTGAAGGAAGTCCGAAATTGAGGAAAAGTTGTTACTCTAATGCTATTAGTGCGAATCAAATATGACTATCTGCATAACTTACCGATATGGCTGTTTGGAGGTGATCAAGAATACCTAGTATTTCCGACGTGAGACCAAGTAGACTCATCGCTTCCACCCAGTGAAGAAAATATTTCCGCAGGAAATGACTCTGGAGAAACAGTAGAGCACTATACTTCATAGTCTTCATGCCCGCACATTTAAGTAGATGATATGCCCAGTATCGACAGGCATACTGTACCTCCGGAGGAAGGTTGCTTTCGATAGTCTGGTGGTCGATCTCTGTACGTTCGGTCCCATCACTTGGCAGTCCACAGATATTTTTCCGTAGGTTTTGACAAGTCAGGAGGCATTGTTTGGCCAACATATAGTGTGCCTCTGTCTCATTTATCGCTAAGGGGGTTTGGTTTTGCGATTCTGGATCGATAAGAAAATCCCGAAACGACAGGTGAAAGAGCCGCACAGGTTTTGACCCATTATCTGGTACTCTTAGTATAGAGTGTAGTGGGTTCAGTCGAAGGTGAATAAGCCCCTCAGAGACACCCAGAAGCTTCGAAAGTGATATAACAGAGAGTGGGCTCTCCAGTATCATGATGGCTCCGATTACTTGCCGGAACTCCGAGACCAATTTTTCTTTCTGTTTCCCATGTTGTCCGTTGAGAAGACGATCGAGAACCGGAAGATATGTCCCATTTAGTTTAGATTTGTCGTTTTGATGTGTAAGGATCTCAGTCAAACTGTCCGCTGGGTCCCAAACTGGGTCCTCAAATATACGACAGATCGTAGCAGCGAAAATAAATGACGGAACGGATAATGCCACTAGCCTTTGAAGATCTCTGTCACCAGGCCAATCTATCGGTAGGAAGCGTTCTGTTCGAATCTTTTCAAGTCGATGATCAAAGAATAATGATATATCATTTTTGACCACTTCTATGGGGATGTCATGGAGAACTAGGTCCTTATGGTCATCGCTTTCAATCCTTAGAAATCCGAGACGGATCGGTAGATCGGGCCTGCTTGTCAAGAGCACTCGTATAGGTATAGCAGTCAAATTTCGTAGCTGGGGGAGAAGTTGAAGTATAAGTCGAATGTCACCATCTTCCTCGCATTCGTCTAATGCGTCGATCACTATCACCATAGTCTGGATAGTAACATCCGATCGCTCAAGGCTCTGGAGTGGCTGAAGAAGGAGCTTTTCGAACTGCTCTCGCATAGCCTTTGTTGCGAGGCCTGGATTGTCACGGACTGCTTGGTGCAGGACTGACATAATCTGGGGAATGATAACTGCTAGTTGCCATGCGATTGTCGGGAAAAGCTTTCTCGCATTCCCTCGATCTCTTTCACCTCTTTTAAAGAAAAAACTTGCTCCTAGTGCCTTGGATTCACTGAAAGATTTTGCTATCGTTCGAGAGATGGTCGATTTTCCTGTTCCGGCTATTCCATTCAACCAGAATATATATCTACCCTGTGATGACGAAATCCATTCTCCGATTTGGCGAACGATATCGGTTCGTGTGCCTGGCAGACATTGATCTTCATGCTGATTCACATATGAGTCGAACATAGCGTCAGGCACGATAAGTAATTTATCTTCAAGATCTGTATAAATATGAGCATGATCGACACTGCACAAAGTCTCTCGCAAAATACCCCGTGGAAGTTCAAACTTATTCTTGATCAAACCGTTGTTGATCCCCGTCTGTGATCCATGATTAGGACCAGTGAATGATATCGTTGGATCCATGATCCACGGAAACACAGGTCTCGTTGGCACTAGAGAAAAATATGTCGGGGTACGCACCTCTTATGTGATAAAATGCTTGCATGCCTACGTGTCAGCTTAGCACGCCGTCAGGTGATAACGTAACCGGACACCGAGTGGGGCAGGACACCGAGTGGGGCAGGACACCGAGTGGGGCAGGACACCGAGTGGTGCACCCACCCAATTTACCTACTACTAATTTTCATTTTATTCAACCACAACGCCAATTCAATTAAAATGAAACTATTCAGACCTCTCTGGGCATCTATTTCTCTAATGTCCAGGCGTTTTACAACGACTGCATCGCGGTGCGCGCCTCTTATTGGTCGGATTCGGCATCGGCGATACCTCGCCGGCTTGATCAGATCTCGCTTCTTTGACCTCTCTCTCAGCACCAAAACGCGATATAGCTTCTTCAACCAGTAGACCTCCTTCATGTGCCATTCGAGATTTCGCCCGCGCTTTTTTGCGCGTGACCTTTGCATTGGCGGCAAGTAATTCCTGACTTTGCTAGTGCTCAATTGTATAGTTATGGAGAGCTAAATTGAACGCTCTTTCCAATTGATCAAATCACGAATTGCAAAGGTTTTCCTTCAGGTTAAAGTTTCGCTTTGGTCTTACGACTTCGTTTAGGTTGCTGCGGTGTATCTTTATCAAACTGCTGCAGATCCTTGTCTGTCACTAGTATTGGGACTGGATAGTAGGAGTTCTTGATAGGTTAGTCGTCTTTCATCTGAGCCATAGTTGGAGACATACCAATTGCAAGCCAAGGAAAGCCCAAAATCCCGAAGTATCCGCTGATAAGATATGTACCTGGCCCGTCTCTCGGATACGAATTCCCACGCATACGTCTGCACTGCACATTTTACTATATTCATATGCCTTTTTCATCAGACTTGATTTGCGACGGCATCGTTTTTGCCGCATCAATTTTCGTTTCGAGGTGACTTCCTTGGACCTGGTGAAATTGATAGCGGCCATTGTGAGTGGTTGGTTGCCTTGATATCTGGGGGTAGATTGGGTGGTAGGAACCTATATAGAAAACGTAGGTAGCGGGGATTCTTATAAAGCTTAGGTCCGCTGAAAGGAAAGGGCTCAATAAAATGCTATTGCAAAAAAAAAAAAAAAAAAAATTTAGCAGAAAGACCACGATATTTTTCAACAATGTTGTACGAAAATCGTTCCTTTACGTGTTGAGCTCATAACGATGGCTACTGCAAATTTGGAGGGGCAATCACCGGTGTCATTTGCGGTCATCAAATAGGTGCGGCAACGTGAAAGCAACCGTACTTTCAACGTTATTGACATATTGCCCGCAATACATTTTACGTATCTGCAACACCATCGACCATACCCATCAACTAATTGACCCATATTGAACACCGTCGGCAGAACAAATGTCGCTATGAAGTCGGTCGGTTCGTTAAAGGCAAAAAAGAAAAACAAAACAGAAATTTTTTTCCTTTCATTTAATCTATATAGAGTCGCAAACGCCCTGATAAATTCAAAAAGTAGGATTTAATCAGGTGCCCTAGTTTTTTAAAAAAATATGTTCAATATTTTAAAATAGACTTGCCGTTTGTTTCGAACTTTCAAATCCGTAGGAAATTTGAAAGTCGGACAAATGCATTATCAATTCAAAGTGGAACGAGACCGATCTGACCGCAATTAAATGATAAAATCGTAGGGAGAGGAAAGTATTTATTCACTATTAACGGGCGGGTTCAACGTAATATCCAACGTGAGGAAAATCGGCGGGCAGTGAAATTGTGACCAAACGTTCGTTGAACGAGGGCGTGCCAAAGTGGTGTATGTACAGCAGGGCTGAAAAGATTGGCTAACTGAGAGCCCCTTCCTCACCTGAATCGCAGGTCCGCGGCCATCCAGGTTAGTCGAGCCGCAATAGAAGATAGCTCGAATACTGTTCTCATGAGACTTGGGGAGGACTTCAAAGTAACTCGGGAAAAAGTGGTCCAGGTGGCTGAGATGCTCAAAGCGGATAAAGAAGAGCTCGATTTTGAAGAACTGTAGCGTCTGTTTCTTAGCCTCAAGACATTAGCTGTCTCTGGCGCTAGGATTTGCGACCGTGCGAGTTCTGAAACTGTTGAGGGCGCTAGTTGGAAGTCGGGTGGCCTGCCAGGTCTGGAGACCGGGGTCTCAATACCCGTTAGGTCCCTGATATCGGTTTTGAGAATAGATAAATTACTGGGGAGCAGTAGATATCTGGATGAAATAATTGAGATGCGTGGGAGAGAAAAGAAGCTATCTACAGTTTTAGACTAATAGGTCCTGGGAGCATACAGACGATCATGTGATCATCTGACAGGTTTGCAATCACTAACGTATTTCACATACGAGCGGCGCACACAAACGAGTGGCGCACCCCACCCAACCCATCGAATTCAATTCCATTTATCTCAACCAAAACGCTATTAAATTGATTCAACTAAAATGGTTTATCTATCTAGACATGTCTCTCTTCTATGCCCCGGCAATCTGCATATCCCACACGCTCTCCCGGCCTGTAGAGCTGGCTGTAAACCCTCCGAAACCTACTTACGATAGGTATTGATACGTGTAGTAAGGCGGTAGATTATATTGTGATTTAGCAGGCTTTTAAATATAGTTTATAGCGGAATTTAGCGGGCTTAGTAGGCTCTTTGATCTTATACGAAGTAAGGCTTTAATTAACGAAGCTTGCTTTTGTAGTTATATAAAGTTCGAGGGCGTTTTTAGGTCCTAATTACTCCCCCTACTCGAAGGGGGGGTTAGGGTTCGAAGTCGAATATTAGGCTTTAAAATC